CGCTCTCAAGCGCACAGATAGTCAAGGTAAGAACCGCGCTGAATACTCACACATCCAGACCCTGAAGTGCCATGATGAGCTACAACTGGACAGAGACACTCATATTAACACAAACACACACACACATTCACACCAACAAACAGAGTCAGATGAAGAGCCAGAGTCTCATTTAAGAGAAACGTAGAATCAAAGCATACAAGAGCATGAACACAAACACTTCTAGCTGCATGAGCTTGATTTCACGTGCTGTTGTGTCCGTCAGGGATCCAAACTCATCAGAAAAAGACAACAAGCACGCAAACACCCTGAAGGAAGTTCAGGGGCGTTTAAAGAAAAAAAAAGTGGATTTACAGTTGATTTCATGAGGATATAGGGAAACTCACCATAGACTCTGTACAGTTATTTGCTCAAATAAATAAAGTTGAAAAAGCTCTATTCACTTCAGTTGACTTGTCTCAGGTCACATTCACATTGTTATTACCACACAATGATAATAATAATAAAATAATTATTATTAGTCAGGTCAAGCTAGCTCTTTTCAAAATACACATTTCAAAGCAGCTTTACAGAAAATCGTGTTGTTAATGTTTATAATATCTTAAAATCTTCATGCGTTAGAGTCATATTTAGCAGATTGTAACTGGGCGATAAAATAGTTACATTTTGCTACAATATAAACAATCATGAAGTTGAGATTTGCTATAGTATTAATCGCTTTACGCGAGCGTAATGTATGTATGCGGATAAAGTTGGATATGCTTACATATCAGAATATTGAATATATTCACTAAATTATAATGCATAATTAAATTAAATATATTACTATATTAATAATACTATTGTACTGCAAAAAAAAAAGAAGACCTTTTATTTGCAGAAAGCTGATTTATAAATGATTCTCACTACAAATTTGGGAAGATGGTTGGTGCATGTTGCATTTTCAAATGCCACACTTTTTGCTTTTTTAAACTTATTTTGCATTCAAAATGGCCATTTTTGCCAAAAGCTTGTTCTGTGAAATCAACACAATTAATAACACGACTGTTGTGTTCTCAGCATTAGACATTAAACATCTTCTATGGTCAGTTTTCTCCTTCAGCTCAACTACTGTCAGGATTTGTTTAATTAGTTTAGTTAGTTAATCTAATGGTCTGTAAACGATCACCCTTTGCACTGAGGTTTGAATGTGTCAAAGTAACACAAAAACTCAAGTGTGTGAAGCAGACCAGTGTGTTTCTGACCAGAGAGAAAGATCTCGGCATCTGAAACTGAATCCTGGAGGTTTGACGGGCCGAATGAAATTCTGTGACCTTAAATACAGACAGATACAAGACGCCTCACAACACTGACACAAAATAAAGATCAGCTCAGCATGGTGGATGTGGAGAGTGTGTTGATGTGTTGAGGAGTGTGTGAGACTCTCTCTCACACACACACACACACTCATTGTAATTCGTGAATTCTATTAGTGCGGCCCTGCAGTGAGCCTGTGCTTAGAGAATAAATAATGCTAATGACGATGATTGCTCACGCTGTCACACACACTCTCACTGGCGTCCCCAGGGGCCACGGGCCCCCAACATGCACAGGTGTGTGTGTGTTTGGGAGTCTGACACTCTAATTGCTCTCAACCCTGGCACACTGATTCTCAACAGCTTCTGCATCGAGCAGTGAAATAACACAACATTACTAATTATTTACTGAACAAAGAAGTTTAAAAAGTAACATGAAAAACCATCAGGCTTGACTGAACAAGTGACCTTTGACATCAAGAACAAAAGATGGAGAGTTTCTCCCCTCTTCAAAGGTTCAGTGTGAGAAACGATTGTGACTGAACCCTCAAACGTACGGATCCCTGTCCCATCTTACACCTTGTATCTGCACCTTTTAAGGTTAGATAAGACTCAGACAAGTGCTCGTCTTCCTCTCAGTCGACTGTACACTCGATTACTTTGTTTAATTACGTAGCGCAGTAATAGCTTAAATAATCCTGGAGCATCACAGCATGTGTTTGTCATCTGCACTCAGTGTCTTCACACTCAGCACACTGATTCTCAACAGCTTCTGCATCGAGCAGTGAAATAACACAACATTACTAATTATTTACTGAACAAAGAAGTTTAAAAAGTAACATGAAAAACCATCCTTTGACATCAAGAACAAAAGATGGAGAGTTTCTCCCCTCTTCAAAGGTTCAGTGTGAGAAACGATTGTGACTGAACCCTCAAACGTACGGATCCCTGTCCCATCTTACACCTTGTATCTGCACCTTTTAAGGTTAGATAAGACTCAGATGTGTACTTTTGAGGGTCTGCCACAGTCACAAGCTGATTTACCCTTAACAAGACTTTTCTGCACGTTTTCTGAAAGAATTGATAGTTGCAAAATTGACTTTCAAGACTATGCTTGATTTTTTTTTTGTATTGATTTTTCACACACACACAAAACTTTGGGGTCGATAAGATTTTTTTTTCTAATTTATATTCAGCAAGGACGCAACAAATTGATCAAAAGAGACATTTAAGTGACAAAGTAAAGACATTATTAATGTTCCAAAAGATTTCTATCTGAAATAAATGCTGTTTTTTGAACTTTCCATTCATCTGTGAATCCTGAAAAATAAAATGCATCACAGTTTCCACAAAAATATTGTGCAGCACAATTTATAAATTGTATATTTATATTTATAAACAGATATCCACATAGAAAACATATGTTTTAAACTGTAATAATATTTCACTGTTTTACTGTATTTCTGATCAAATGCATGCACAGTGTCTTCACACTCAGCACACTGATTCTCAACAGCTTCTGCATCGAGCAGTGAAATAACACAACATTACTAATTATTTACTGAACAAAGAAGTTTAAAAAGTAACATGAAAAACCATCAGGCTTGACTGAACAAGTGACCTTTGACATCAAGAACAAAAGATGGAGAGTTTCTCCCCTCTTCAAAGGTTCAGTGTGAGAAACAATTGTGACTGAACCCTCAAACGTACGCATCCCTGTCCCATCTTACACCTTGTATCTGCACCTTTTAAGGTTAGATAAGACTCAGATGTGTACTTTTGAGGGTCTGCCACAGTCACAAGCTGATTTACCCTTAACAAGACTTTTCTGCACGTTTTCTGAAAGAATTGATAGTTGCAAAATTGACTTTCAAGACTATGCTTGAAACAAAGACAGAAACAGACGCACTCTGTGCAGCGATAACGCGACGGCCTCGAAGACATGGACATTCTCTCATTTCCGGCCCTAATGTTATAATGCATTTGCGCGTCTTTGAGAAGCGAAAGCCAGGAAAGAAAGAAAGCAAGCAAGCAAGCAGTGACCGTAATGGCGCAGATGAGAGACTGAAACAATGTGTCCAATCAATATCAGCTCGATCGGGCTCGCGTCCACTGAAACACACTCTTAATCCATTACTTTTTAACCACATTTGCAGCATTTCTCAAAGTCTAAAGGTGGAGATGGATGAGTCGACTTGTGAAGTGTAATGTGATTTGGAGCATCAAAGGACAGAAGAGCTCTGAATGCAATCAGGAGGCTGATTGCTATAAAAATCTTACCCATCATGCACTGGGGTACATTTGTGTTACACAAATAAGATGAAATACAGGGTTTTGAGTCAATAAATACACAGCCGGAGGACAGGAGAAGGCTTTTAACCCATTAGAAGCACGTTTTGTGCTAAATATTTTAAGTTAGACCTGCAGTTTGTTATTTGTGTGCCTCTAGCATCAGCAAATGCAAAAATAATTGTTTTCAAACAGGTTTCCCATCAGTCAAACAAATCTGACCACGTTTTTCAATGGTTGTGGCCTTAAATTGGTTTTAATCAGTGTTGGGGAAAGTTACTTTTAAAAATAATGCATTACACAATATTGCATTACTCCATAAAAAAGTAACTAATCACATTACTTTTTATGTAAAGTAATGCATTACATTACTTTTGTGCTACTTTTTGTCACCTGGGCTGGGCTTGCTTATCTGTTTTTTAATAACAAAAAACACAGAAGTTATATTTTTGGCAACTGTAAGGGCCCTTTCACACCAAAAGTGAAATGAATGAGCCTCAGGCTGAAGGAAGAGCCTCTTTCTCTGCACTTACTCCTAATTTCTCTCAACATGGGGACAGGAGAGCTCAGTCAATACATGAGAAAACAAAGTAGCTGGTCTTATTTGAAAAAGTAACTCAGATATTTCATTGTAAATTTAAAAGTAATGCGTTACTTTACTAGTTACTTGAAAAAGTAATCTGATTACATAACTTGCGTTACTCCCATCCTTCACAAGCTCTTTATATGAAATCAAGCTTGCAAATAAAGCATAATGATGGTTTTGAGCACAAATCCTCATACCGCTGAACATTAGCAGTGAATCAGTGCAGATACAGGTGGAGATTCACTGAGATCTCTGCACTGCATGATGGGAGATGTTACTGTCAGAATCCAAACAAAAGACAGTGTTAAAGTATTGATGCAGAGAGAGAGAGAGAGAGCAGAGGTCAGACTGGAGAAACGAGGGGCATTACTGACATCTGCTGGCAGACGAGTGCAACGCTGCGGCAAGCAAGTATCATTTGGTCAGTACTTGTCTTTTGAATATCTAGGGATTGTGTTGAAAGGTGCTCCACGCATTCTGTTTATTATTATTTACAGGCCTC